CCATCCTCCTTACTCCAGCGATCAATTCCCCGAAACCCCATACTCCACTATACAAGACAATCCTCCTAAGCTCTTGCTTGTTTTGGCTTTGTATGAATATAGCCAAACTATGCTTCCTTTATGCAAATGCCTTACATATCTAGTGTTTGTTTTTGTTGTGTAGGTTGTTGCAGGTTATAGGAGCAATAAGTGCGAGCTAGTTGGTTTGTCCCTCTAGCCCATTATCTTTATTAATGAAGGTGAATAGTGTCAAAAGATGGGCAATATAAGACAAGTGTGCTATGGTAGAGTTGAGAGAATTCGAACGATATATCGTTTAGCTTGCTTTTAAATTGGTCCTACCATCCGTTTCTCATGTCAATTTATGTTGTAGATTTAATTTCATCTCAATTGCAACCTTTGGGTGAATCATTGTAATCCCTAAAATTTTATTTTTTTCAATTGGATCTTTAGACCTTGTAATTTTAGTCATGAGGTTTTTAATTATTTTAATTGTGCCCCCAATTACTCTAATTATAATTCTACTTTGATTCAATTATGCCTCTAATACAAATTAAATTTTTGGAATTTTACATTTTTTTTTGGCATTTTTATTATTTTTTAGAAAATTCTAATAATGAAAATACAAATAATAAATAAGCAAAAAAAAAAAAAACAATAAAAGAAAAAGATAAAAGATTTTAGGAGAAAAATTTGGTTATGACGGTTGCTTATTCTTTATTCTTTACAATACTTATGGTGTAAAGTCAAATGAAGAAGATGTTTTTCAATAATTTTGGATAATAAGCTTGTAAAAAAACATAAATAGAGAGGTAAAAACTATGGGTCCGAATGTCCCGATGGACCATTCTAAAAAAAAAAAAAAGTAGAAATACAATGGCTTTTTTATCTATGTGGCTTGTCTAAAAAAGTAAAAATACAAGTGCCTTATTTTTTGACTCGTCCGTCCAAAAAAATAAAAATATGTTGGCCTTGTTATATGAGGTGTTATATCTAAAAAATTAAAATTCGATAGCCTTGTTATCCGAGCAACTCTGCCCAAAAAAAGTAAAATACAATGCCTTGTTATTTGGATGACATGCCCCAAAAAAGTAAAAAAATATAATGGTGATTGGGTAATTTTTTCTAAAAGTGGTGGTTTGTTGTTAGGTGACCAAACCCAAAGTGAGTTCACGAAGCATGTTTCTACTCTTTTCCTCACAATTCTTCCATGTTGAGATCAAGGTGGATTTTACCTTTCTTTTTGTGCTATAATATTCCCGAAACTAGACTTGGCATGATGGTCGATTGATTACCTATGAAACATATAGGCTATCCAACTCAACTCCCTCTTTCATGCTTCGTTTTTGTTTTTAAGACTTTCATACACGGTCGTTATCCGTTCCCTAGCCATTATAACCTTGCCTCCTATTCGTGTTTAACATTTCATTAAACTTAGGGTTGGTTTCTCTTTTCAATCAATTATCGAGATGATTACTATCATCTTGATCCTTTGGAAGTGGTGATCGTTCTTGAGTGCAATTGACTACTAATTGATCTGTTTGCACTAGTTTCATGTTTGATTTTTTCTTGTAGTTTTCTTTGTGAATTGGATCTCATATGCATTACAAATATTTGACATGTTCACGACTTATGAATTCCTCCTTCATATGGAAAGTTAGCTAGATTTCAATTGGAGACCTTAGATTTCGAGTTGGACAAATCTCTAAGGACATTTCATGAACATGTCATACAAGCATTGCAATGTGGTCAACTTTGGGGTTTTCTCTTGTATTTGTGTTTTAGTGAAGCATCCGGCTTGTGGAATGGGTTTTGTATTTGTGCGAAAGAGAGTGGTTTGCCTCTTGGTATTATTGCTCTTTGGCACCAATTATGATTCTATATGACATATGTTTTGATTTTGACTATCTCGTTTTTAATAGAATTCTTTTACGATTGCTCGATGATTAAGACTCATATGACTAATAGGTCATCTTTAGTTAGAAATGAATTTCATTAGCACATAATGTAGGTTATGATGTTGTTTTTCCGCAAAATGGGTAATGAAAGCTCAAATAGTATTTCGGGGTTTTCTTGACATATGATCACTTTTGAAACACTCTTTTTTGTTTTCTTCTTTTCTTTTTATGGCATGTCTAATGCTAATTTTTTTCAACTTGGCCTACTTTTTCCTTTTATGTTTGGGTTCAATTTTTAAGATGTGAACCCCCTCTTTTGTATTTGATCAAATGAATGAGAGATTTTTTTAGGTAGCTTTGCATGATAAGCTTACAAAGATGGATTTTTACAAGGTTTGACTTGATTATGATCCTCCTTTTTTGAATTTGAGTTTTAGAAAGGCAAGTTATTTAGCAATATGTTTCTCGGATCTAATTTTCATGACGATGATTATTGATAGCTTTTTGAAAGCTTTTTAGCTCTTTGCCCCCGAGTGTAAGGGGTGATCCTAGTCTTAGGTGTTATGAAAGAAATAGAAAGCTTAAAGATAGACTCCAAGGGATGAATTTAACTTGATTTAGATAGAAATTTTCAAGGATGGTGTTTCCTCATTCTATCGATAACATACGTAATCGGATAGTTTCGTTCTAGCAATCTCCATATTGAAATAATTAAGATGGAACCTATAATCTAGACACGTGTTGTATAGTCATCATAAGAGGTACCAAAGTGGCATGTTACCCTTGGAGCAAGGGTGATTACGTCGGAACTTGGTTTATTCTTTTTATTTTTTTTTTGGTAACGACATTTTGTGTTAGTACAACGGTTCTCGAGTACTTATGAGATACATCTTTTCCTTCATTACTTGGGCTCATCATTTTATTTGCTTAGTGGTTTAGTTAAATAAGATGCTAAGTGATTATCTCTAGATTGAAAACTTGGTCGCTTTCTTTAGTTAGAAGTACATTCATCTAGTAATGAAACCGTTAGTTCGATTTAAAAAGCACATGGGATCTAAGTACTTTTTAGGTTATTGGAACTTGGATTTTTTTTTTTTTTTGTTAGAGACTAGTTAAGCCTCTTATTTCTTAAGTAAAGAATTACCATGGCACCTTACTTGCCTTATTTAACAATTAATATGTAATATTAATTAAGATCATAAGATAAATGATGGATATTTGAATTAGGGAATGCAATGACCATGCTTGGCCTGAATTTAATCTTTTATTTCATAGCAAAAAGAATAACACATCTCAAGCATAGTATTTCTTCATTGTATCCGAATTTACTGAGCTCAACTATACTATCTCCATCCATGTTAGCTAAAAGGGGTGCTGAATTTTTTTTTTTTTTTACTACATAAGGACCTTCATAATTGGATGACCACTTACTTCTATCTTCTTTGGTTATTAGCATAATCTTTCTAAGCACTAAATCCCATTCTCTTAGTCGGACCTTCGATGCATGTTGAGCATAACCAAAAACAATTTACCTTGTTCTGATTTTCTAAATTATAGATAAGATGAGTAAGGATCGATGCATAAAGTTGGGTAAGGAAGTTTAAGATCATACTCGCTAGTAGATTTTTCCAATTTTAATTCAAAGAACTTTTCTAAGTCCTCTTCAATAAGATTGTAGCATTTATAACTACAAAAAACGATATAATTAGGTAGTTGGTGGCTATGTACAATTGTATTGTGGTTGCTTGAAGCGAGACATATCTTTCTTGTCATCTAGTTGAACATATGGCATAAGATGATCATAAAAAATAATAGTTAGCAATGTCATAATTTGAAGGACAATAATTTGTTAGATTATGCATGTAAACAACATTTGTGTGATGTTACTAAGGGTTTAGGTAAATACAATAGTGTTACCTTAAAGGACTTTGAACATCCGTTAGTGTTCTTTTTGTCGTCTTAGTTGAGCATCCTAAAACACTTTCAAGACTTAGATCATAGACTAAAGAACAAAATGTGGAATAGTCATGGCAGAGGGCATAAGCAACGGGGTTTAGGTAAGCCACCTCCTAGTAGTGTTGGTAATGTTGGGAAGCCGCCACTACTACCTTGAAGGTGTAGAAGGTTGTTGACATTCTCAATGTTAAGCAAGGTGGTTTCGTCGACGATTATGATTAGGATAATACAAAGTATCATCATTGTTATGGGCAACTCGCATTGGTAGTCCGTTGGTGTTTTTCTTGGTTATTTTGGAAGGGACCATTGTTCTTCATAATCCTTAACTCCCTAACGGAGTCACTAAAATGTAGATGGTATTCTTGAGAACTAATTAGATGACTAGTCGACGAGTCGGTCAAGATGCAAATAGATAGTATTGTGACTTATAGAAGCAAAGATCAACCAACCAAGTAGAAAAGATACAAATAGTGTGAGGCGGGGATCGAGAAGTAGACGAGTGCTAGCAAGACGCAAGTTATGTGGCTAATAGGTGGGTAGTCAAGGTCCTAATAGATTGAGGTTTAAGTGTTATTTGGCATGCAAGTATGAGAGTTTTAAGATGGAGAGTTAGGGGTTTTTATGCTAGTGATTAAAAATTTTGAAGTCACAAGTTTTCTAATATAAAAGTTCTCCTCCCCTCATAATGATATGAGGTGGGTATTTATAATGAAAGAAAATGGCCTTTAACCGTTAGAATCATACCACGTCATTTAAATTTAGATAGTCAAATTTAGATTGAAAGATTTAAGTTCTTTAGGTTTAATTGCTTTAACTTGCTAGCAAAAGTTAAGAGAAATAACAATTGAGCCTTTCTTTAATGATACCTTGCTCCGAGCCCACCAAGTTAATCTCCCCAATGCATACAAAGACAAGGCATAAACACTAGCCTTACTAGAATGCTCGTGTCTATCCTTACGACCCAAGGCCTTGTGTTAAGTTAGGTCCATTTTTAGTTCAATTCATTTGTCATGAAATATGAACCCATGTCAAAATCAAATTAAGTAAAATAATATAAAGTAATGCAGAATAAAAATTAATTAAATTAATTAATTAAAATATAGGTCTGGGTTTGCTAACCTTTCTTCCTGTCGCAATATATCTGTTTCATGTCTCTAGATTCTCCACTATCTCCCATGCAGAAGAATCTGCGCACGTTGTGGCTCCTGAAAATGCAACAGCAAAGTCCCTAGACTCCCATATAATAGTATCTGCTAAACGGAGCCTGAAAATAACTGGACGGCCTTCGGACACATTTGGTGCAAGAGGTTCTTGGCCAACATAAAATGGAAATGAACCATTGCAAATATTGGTCAGACCACCAGCAATATCAGCTGCAGCTGGAAGTATATAGTATTCCACACCACTTCTAAGATGTTTTCCTTCAACATCAACATGAGACAAGGGTTGAGCCCCAGTGGATATGGCAATTAGTAGCCAAATGAAGCTGATGCTTCCAGTCAGCCTCAACATGGCTGCTTGCTAACTATCTCACACAACAAAAACAAAGCAATAAATTATGGAAGATTGGGTTGTCTTTGTATGCATCTTGTGGCCCGGATTTGGATCTTATTTATAGTACAGAAAAGGGGCCGACGTACCACATTTCAATTTCAGTATATCACGGCCAAAAAATAAAAAATAAAAAAAATGAAAAAGAAAGAAAAACTTACTGGTAATTATCATTTTCATGTGTCATGCTATCCAATTGAGTGCAAATTACTTTCTCAGTGAGGTTAATGTTTCAGCATTAATAGGATTAGCAGTGTGCCTCCTTTTTATTAGCGGAGATTATTGAGATACACAAGGACATGGCCCATTTGGCTATCGATCATAGTTCTTTCTCTAGTGAATAGGACAGGCTTGATAAAACTCTTCTCCCACATACCTTGATTTTCCCATGTTTTTTAAGAAATATGAAGATGATAATTAAATTTAAATCATTGAATTTTCATCATTTAGTATATAATTAACTACAAAAACAACTTAATTTTTTAATATTTCATTTCTCTCATCTAATATGAATCAATAATTTCAAAATTAATTATTAGATTTAAAACATATTCTATTATGTTGTCTTAAGAACATGAGAGGATTCAAATTCATAGCTAAATACAATGAAACTAGATAACCATGTGGTATGTCAATTCAATTAAAGGACATCACATATATATATATATATATATATATATATATATATATATATATATATATATATATATATATAATAGATTAGTAATATGTAAAGATGAGAATTGAGAATTGGTCACTCTCCACTAGACTCAACTATCTAATAAATATGATTTTAGAGTTTAAAAAAGATCTAACTATTCACTAAATTAAGAGTCAAGAATCAAGCTACTTGACATATCCTCAAAAATAAAATATAAGTAAGAGAGAGTACTGAGAGCATAACTCACATCAACTAAATAAATAATATATGAGTAATACATAAAGTGCAAAATTAAGAATGAAGCATCAACCACCATAAAACTTAAACTTTAATTGTAATAAAAATTTAATATTAGTTAACTATAAAGGTTTATTTATTTGTGACATCCAATGGTTGCACTACGAAACTAGATAATCATCTTTCTCTTTTAATTCCATCCTTTCTGATTGAAATCATGAACTAAATTCAGTAGAGCCAAATATATAGTCTACATTAAGAACAGGCAATGGAATTGATTGTATCCCTGGTCCACAAATCTATGAAGGAGCCGTAAATGCCTAACCATATCAAAGCTTTTGTTGGGGAAATTTAAAGGACTCAAGGTGTACATCAAATATGTTTATTGAGTGCTAATTAAAAGAGAATGAAAATTAAAGAAATAATAATAATAAAAAAAAAACACTCAATTTTACATGATTTGCAAAATTGTTTACTTCCCAAGCCAATACAGATTAAGATTGTACTATATCATACAAAATACAATATATAGTCAGACTCAAAATAAAAGAGTCTTACATCCAAGCTCATAAATCTTTTTAAGAGCTCAATAGACAATAAAAAAGTATATTCTAAAAGAGAGCATACAATTTTTAATATGATAGGTAGTAACTAAAATAAAAATACAAAGACCTCTTAATTTCTGCATAAGAGCTTATTATTATTATTATTATTATTATTGTTCTTGTTCCAAAATGCTCTCTGTACAATCGGACGCATTTTTATAAAAACTCCATCTCATTTTATTAATACCAAAATGTGTTTTAGACTTGGGTTTAGAAAAGGTATGCAACCTAACAAGGGATGTTCATGGGTGGATATCTTATCTATTAATTCAATTTTTTTTTTTTTATCATATCTATTAAAAGATTATCCTACCCATTATCTACTAAAACATTATCATATAAATCTTTATCTAGGCCACACACAACCCACATTTGTTTAGCCATCCATTAATATCTATTTAATACCTATTAAAAATAATTTATCAAAAATATTCATTTTAGTCCCTATAATGGTTAAAAAAAATTCCCTTAGAATTTATTAATTTATTATTATTATTATTATTATTTATTTATTTTACATTTTGGTAATTTATTTGCAAGTGTTTTAGTGCTTAAAGTTTTCAAAAAAAAAAAAAAAATTTTGGTTCTTAATTTTTTACGTTTATGCAATTAGATCCATATGTATTAATAAAAAATAAAAATAAATTAGCCGGTATTAATAAGGTAAAGAGGAGATACCTATATTCTAGATTATCATATTAATGGATAAGTATTTTTTTTTACATATTTCAATATCCATTGGATATTTTTAATGTGTATTTATTTAACCGGATAAAGCGAGATATTTGCTTTATACACGAGCCATCATCATCCCTAAGCCCAACTCACATACTTACGGGAGTAGTCATGAAACAAAGCTACTGTAAAATATAGCTTAGGTGTAACAGAAGAACTAGGTAACCTTTATTTGGTTAAAACCGCATCATAACAATTTTTTTTTCTTTGAGAAAATGATATCATAGTCTTATTTCATAACAATTTTTTTTTCTTTGAGAAAATGATATCATAGTCTTATTTGGATAAGATCTTAGTGAATCATAACATTTTGAATGTAATTAAGGTAGTTTTCTAAAATTTGAAACAAATACATTACACTACAAAAAAAAAAAAAAAAAAAACTAATAATTAGCGACGAAAATTAACAATGGACACTAAACTGACTTTAATTAGAGGTATTTTTGCAATAGAAGTATGAACAATAGGTTTAGAAATGGAATTGCGATGGAATGTTAGCAAGGATAGAGTTTTGTCACTAAGTAGCCTCGAAAAAAATCTAGCGACAAAATAACGATGGATTTGTGAGGGATATTAATAACGGACTAGCAATTCCATCACTAATTCACATTTTTTAATATCCTAAAAATAGAGCGAGTTGTTTGGAATTCAAATTACGGATCGAAACTTAAATCTCTCATTAATTAGCGATGGAATTGATTGCGATGGATATGTAAGGAAAACTAGTGATGGACTAGCATTTCCATCGCTAATTCATGTTTTTGAATATCTCAAAAAATGAAGTAGTTGTTGGGAATTCAAATTAGAGACGGATACTTAAATCACTCACTAATTAGCGATGAATTAATGACATAATCGTGTATGTCGGTAAATCTTAATCCCTAAATTTGCAGAATCTCTTCTTCTTCCTCATTTTCTTTTTCTTCTTTCCTCCTCCTCCTCTCCTCCATGTTGCCACTCGATTGCCCAGCCTAGAAATCACCACCCAAGGCCACTTAACTCCCTCCTAAGGTTGCTCCAACCAACACAATGCCCCTCTCTTCTAAAGAATCGAGAGTTCTCCCCTTCAATCCTCTCCTCTACCTCCCTATTGTTAGTTCTCTCTCTACTTATTTTTTTCATACCAATTAGCTATGTTTATTAATTGTTAGGTTAGTTTTGATTAATTAGTTGATTAATTAGTTAATTTATTGCTTTTGTTAGTTGTTAGGATTTTTTAAATTTAATTAATCAATCAAAATTATTGTTAATTGATTTAGGTTAATTTCAAATAGGATTAATTATGATTAATTTAAATCAATTGTTAATTGATTAAATAGGTTAATTTAATTAGGGTGAATTGTATTCAGTTAATTTGAATTTAAATTAGGGATAATTAGGGTTAACTAAGGTTAATTTAAAATTTTCCTTAGTTGATTAATTAAGTTAAATTTATCATGATGAATTGTATTATGTTAATTTTAATTAAAATTAGGGTTAATTAGGATTAATTTAAACTAATTGTTAGTTGATTGATTAGGTTTATTTAAATTAGGTTTAAATTAATTTTTTTAATTTGAAGTTATTATTTTAATTAATTAATCCAAATTAGTGCTAATTATTATAGGTTAATTTTAATTAGATTAATTAAGTGTTAAATGTATATGTCAATATTGATTACTTAGTGTTAATTTGAATTATTATTAAATAAATTTAGGTAAAAGATTAAATCATATTAAAGATAACCAAAAAAAAAATTAATTACCAATGAAATCAAAAAATCAAAATTCTACAAAATATTAAATTATATTAAAGGTAACAAAAACATAAAAGTAGTAATATTTTAGTAAGTGATCTATTTTTTTAATCTAAAATATTAAATTAAATTAAATTAAACTAAAACATAATATATGCTAGTAACATGTTACTTTAATTATTTTTTTTAGATAAAAGAATATTTAGATTAACTTATATAATAATAATTTGTTACATTTTGATTAAATAATATTTAGATTTGGATTAATTTGTTAAGTGTATTTAAAATAGAATTTATTTCAAATTTGTTTTGAATTGAAATTATACACTTTATTTATTTAATTTGTGATGGTTGAAGTGTGCTGACATACATCGTAGGGTATCGAACTTGAGGGCTATGAGACCCCTAAGAATTGAGGAGAAATAAGATTGGTTCAATACTCTACGATGCGAGTTAGGAGGACAAGTTTGTAATTTAATTTTGATGGAGTATTCGAGACAATTATTGTTCTCGGTATGCATAATGTTTGAGTGATTATTTTTGATTATTTATTGATTGGAAAAGGTCCAATTTATAAAAGAGACTCTACCAAAATTTTATTAGATGCTTGAAAAAATTATTAATTAAATACTTTAAAAATTGGTAAACATCTAATTTATGGCAATGTTGATCAAGAAATGTTTGCATATGTTGTGTAACTTTCACGGACATAAAAAAAAAAAAAAAAGATCCAAACAAGTAATGGATGAATGTTGCGTTAGTTGATGGGTTGTTAAATGATGAGTTTATCAATAGGGTTAAACAATTTGTTGCATTTGTCGTTAGTCATCCGGAATGTATGAACAGAGCTAAAATAAAGTTTCCTTATAAATACGGTAAGTTTTGAAATAGAAAATTTGAGGAGGTTGATATGGTTAAATACCATTTTTAGTGTAAGGGCTTTATGACAGGATATTATGATTGGATACATTATAGAGAATTTGAGTCA